AGTGTCTCCTTGTGGATATGATCAGGAGATAGGCTTCTCTTTTTCGTGTATAATGCTTAGCAGCTGTTATTGGCTCTTGTCTCAATGGTATAATATTATGGGATATGCTGTTAGCATGGCTATGTGTCCACAATTTCTGTTTCTTCTTGAGTAACTTAGGGAGAAAAGCTTCCACTTCCAAGAAATAAATGTGATCAAAAGGACCAAAAAACAATATAAAAGCAAAGACAAAATCCACTGTTCTAAAACAAAAATGAAACTGTGGCCAAGTGGCTAGTTGTATTTGCTGCACAGGTATTGTGCATGTATCATAGAAACCTCAAGCAGTGTGTGGGCATGTCATCTCGCTCAGGCCCCTCCTGTATTCACCACCCTAGAGGTACGCAGATATATTTTGAGAAGTTAACGTAGAAAGATTGTCTACTGTTTGTGTCTCTGAAGGTCAGTTAGGTATCTATCTGTGTGTGCACAGTGTAATTCTCGAAATAGTTGTGCCCTTTTATGTTGGCGTTTTACAGAGTGTTCCTGTGGTTTGTCTGTCTGGTCAGACCTGCTTTTTTCCCCTGCTGGGTAGGCAGGAGTAAAGGTTCCCGCATAAGTTAACAGGGCTTGGTTCCAGAGTCAGAAGTCAAAAGCAGCCGTCAGATTCAGCCTGTGGGACCAATGGGACTCCTCCTCTCTTTGCCATGGGAAAACTGTGGGCTCAATGCTGGACCCTTTTGGGGGGTGCATGTCCACCTGCCTGGAGGTGTCTGGGCTGGGCAGAGAAGGCATGACAGGGAAGAGGAGGAAAAAATGTGTAGAATCCCCCTACGCCTCCTTTTGCAAAAATGTCACTGCGCCAATGTTAGCGCAGGTTCATTGTGGTGGTCCGGCTGTGGCCACACCCTCTGAACTCAGCCTCGACAGGGTGGCCGCAGAAGGAGTCCCGTGTCCCAATCGATTTACTAAATCACAATATTTTCCTTTATACAGTGATATTCCCCCCTGGTGGGTGTGGGAAACTGACACCCTGCACCTTATGCTTGATCCAGAGCTCTGGTACTGTTCTCTGAAAGTAGCTTCTCTGGGTTTTCAGCCCCTCCGCCACAGAGCCTGTCCTACCTTAATGTGCTTCTGCTGCCTCCAAAACTGGAAGTCCCTTATATCTTAAGGTGCTAAAAGAAAACAACAACAACAAACTTACCGATTTCTAATTATGAAGCCAGTGAAATAACCTTCTTGAAAGATCAAATGTTTTCAAATGAGCAGACACAAAATTATCATTAGCAGAATTAAGCAAATATTAAAAGGATATTCTTCTAAAAGAAAATGAAATAATAATTTGCAAGCTTTGTCCTTTTAAGGAGTCCTGGTACCATACTAGATAACACATTGGCTAACTGCAAGTTCAGCCATTCTAACTCCATAAAGATTTACAGTCTCTGAAGCCAACAGGATAATTCTCTTGTATCCAACTCACAATTGCTGTGAGTCTCAGAATCAACTCAATGGCAGTGGGTGGGTTTGGGTCTTTCCTTCTAGAATAATTTTTTTTATTTTCCTCTTTTTCCACTAACCCTAACTATCTTGTTAGTTTTATTGTATTTGATGAACTTTTATTTTCAACAAGTGTATTCTAAAAATTAAGCTTCTCTGGTTTTAAAGGAAATTAGTAACATCAGTAGATAATTTTCCTTTCTTAAATGTTTTGAATAGGTGGATTCAATTTCTTGGGTTGTATTTATTATAAATAATAATTTATGCTTTAGAATTATATGGAATAATATAATCTTGCATTTTTCTGATAGTAAAGGACAATATTGTTTCCTCTTATGGTCACTAGGGGGGTGCAGACTACACTGGGTCACACTGTTAAAGGGTTTGATACCAAAATGACTGTCTATAATATTTTTTGTAATGCATCTTATCAGAAATTTGTTATTTGTTATAAAAACTTCTCTATAGTTAGTTATAAGAGCAAAAACATTTTTCATAAGCCCAGTTTATATGTATCAGTATATCTTAAAGGCTAAAATTCTGTGTTAATATACTTTTTAGATCCTCTGATAGCCCTGGTAGAATCCTTGTGTGGAACTGCTGGATAATGCACTAGATCATAAGGTTGGGAGTTCAAACCCACCAGCCGCTCCTTGGAAATCCTATACAGGGTTGCTGTGGGTCAGACTCAATTTGACTGCACTTAACAAAAACAAAAGCCTTGGTGGTGTAGTGGGTTATGTGTTTAGCTGCTAATTGCCAAGTTCAAATTCACTAACCACAAGTTCAGTTCAAAAGAGAAAGAGTAGTAGCCTTGGAAACCCTATGTAGGGTCACTGTGGATCAGAATTCACTCAATGGCAGTGGGATTTTTTTTGGTTTGAAATAATGACAGCTTTCTGGTCACTATTGTCATTATTATCCAACTATAACAATGCTTAGAATCCACCTGATTTCTGTTGGTTTTGTTGCTGCTGGTGTTTTTATAGTCCTGATTTTTGTCAAGATTTCTGGTATTTTAGTTACATTATTGTGACAGTTAGTATTTGTGAATCTATGTCAATAATTTTTTGATAATGGAGTAGTAATTAAAGGAAAAGAAGGAGGAAAAAAACAACAAATAAAGCCATAATTCAATGTAGAAAAATTTTACAAAACTATTTTTTGTTAGTATTCATATACTCTAAAATATTACATTTAATCAAATTACAATTATATTTATTACATATATTTGTGATTAAGAGGGTAATAAGCATTACTAAGGATTCTGTCTGGTCTGGTATGGGAGGAGGTTCCTGGTGGGGGTGGGCATCATGCTGTCATCCCATGAATTACTGCACTGAGTCACAGCAACCCTGGTGACACCACTGCTTAGGTTTGTGTCATTTTAAAATACAATACTTCATCAGATCATCAGGTGACTTTTAGGCTTTTTCTTTTCCTTTTGGTAGTTCTGAAACATGAAATATCTGTAATTTATTTAAAGTTAAAATTATTCTTGAATTCAAGACTTTCAAAATTATGATTAAGTTTATATAGGAAAAATAAAGCTTATAGATTTATTTTGGTTTCACAACTAGCAGCCATTTTATTTTATTAATTTTTGTTGAAAAATTTTTTGTATTCATATGACATCAAGGAACGATAATCATAGAATTATTAGATTTTTAAAACTATTAACTAGAGCTAGTAAGCAGTCAAATGAGTTTTGTGAAACAGTCAAGAAAGTAACAAATCAATAAAGTTTAGCATTTCATTTTTATTTAATCGACTAGATGAAATTATTATAGTCTACAGGTTTTTCCAAAATGCCTTATTTTATTATTTAATTAAATATAATATCTGAATTATATCTTTTTTGGAAATTTTAATTCTCCCTAGAACAAATAAAATTATTCTTGAATTATTTGTGACTAATTTAATGCATTTATATTTATTAGACAATCTTTTTATTTTCATAGCATAGTACTTAATATTGATTAGTTGTTTCTGTAACATCTACTTAAAAGTAATTTTAGGTAAATGATGATTTTCTCCAAATGTTTATTTTTAATTGACTCTGAAATGGTAATTACTGCTACTAAAATGAATTCAGATTATTATAATATTAACTGTTTTTTTTTTCTGAAGGTTACATGGTGAATTAAAGGATTCTGTTGAAAAGCAATTGGAGGCCCTTCCCTTTGACAGAGCGATGGGAAATGATATATATGCAGACGATGAAACAGTCAGGAACCTTCAAGAGCAATTACAACTAGCCAATCAAGTGAGTGGCATCTATTTAAAAATTATACCCTGAGTAAAGAGGTTTTTTTAAAAAAATCTGTCTTACTCATTATTTATGAATGATTATGAAAAATTAATTACCTTGATGATTTTCTACAATTTAGAAGGTTTCTGATGCTTTCTTGTCCTCAAGTACTAAAGCTTATTAAAAATGCCCTTACTATTTGTTATAAATATAAGTACTGTTGCCAAATAAATATAGGATCTGAGATACTGCTGATGCTGCTAGTTCTTTGAGATCCTGTGCCATAGTAGAAACTGAGTTTCCTAACTCTTCCCTGCTCTCCATAATTCTAAAATTTGTGGATGCTCAAGTCCCTTATATGAAATGGTGTAGTATTTGTATATGACCTATATGTATTCTCCTGCATATGACTCATACATATTCTCCTGTGTACGTTAAATAATTTCTCAATTACTTATTACATGAATAATTTCTTTTAGAAAGCTCAATATGAGACTGGCACCTAAGAGGTGAAGGTTAAAGATATCACAAATGTCTTGACTATTCCATTGTGTTATTATTCCAGTCTATAATCCCTTATATCATTCACCACTCCTCCCTTCCCACTTCCACCAGGGCTTAGTAATACGCTTTAATGTCTCACAGAGCTCACAACTGTCAAAGAAATGGCTCACATAATTGTCGAGGCTGACAAGTCCCAAATCCATGGTTCAGTGGTCATTCTGTAAGATTCTCATCACGCAGATAGTCTCAGGAGCTGAAGAACACAAATCAGCAGCTCAGATAACAGGCTGTTGATGTACAAGGCTGCAGGAACTGGTGAATTGATGCTAAGATGTATGGAGAGCTCCAAAGAATATTGGACCTACAGATACTGAAAGGAGACAAAGAACGTTCCACAAACCCAACAAAGAGAAAGCCTTCCCCAAGAGCCAGTACTCTGAATTGGACTTCTAGCCTCCTAAACTCTGACAGAATAAATTTCTAGTTGTTAAAGGCATCCAATTGTGGTATTTCTGTTATAGTATCATCAGATAACTCGTACTAATGCATGTTCGTATCATCAAAAGTTATGACTATAATTCATCTTTATACAAGTTTCATTTCTATTTTTAGAGTTTATTTACAAAAAGATTTCTATAAAATAATGGTATTCATTTGTAATATGCAATAGCCTGTATAACTCAAAAACGTTGATGTTTTTTGTTTAAAGGAAAAAACCCAAGCAGTGGAACTCTGGCAGACTGTTTCTCAGGAGTTGGATAGACTGCAGAAACTTTACCAAGAGCATATGACTGAGGCCCAGATTCATGTAGTTGAAAGTCAAAAACAAAAGGTACTTTGGGGTTTTCTGCTTCTTTTTTGTATTTCTAAGAAATTGTAACATAGACCATGGTGCAGTTGTTTGAACATAACAGTTTACTAAAATCAGGTAAGCTATTCTCCAGGGTTGTATCCTTTCACCACACTTATTAAATCTGTATGCTGAGCAGATAATATGAGAAGCTATATTACATATGAAGAAGAATGTGGCATCAGAATTGAAGGAAGACATTAACAGTCTGCAACATGCAGATGGCATAACTTTACTTACTGGTGGAAAGAGGACTTAAAATTCTTATTGATTAAGATTAAAAACTATAGTCTTTAGTATGGATTGTAACTCAATGTAAAGAAAACAAAAGCCTCACCTGGACCACTAAACAACATCTATATCAATGAAGAGAAGATTGAAGTTGTCAAAGACTTCATTCTTCTTGGATCAACCGTCAACACATAGAAACAGCAGTCCGGAAATCAAACGATGTATTGCATTAGGCAAATATGCTGCACAAGACCTCTTTAAAGTATTGAAGAGCAAAGATGTCAGTTTGAGGACTAAGGTGTGCCTAACCCAAGCTATGGTATTTTCAGTAACCTCAAATGCATGTGAAAGTTGGACAATGAACAAGGAAATTTGTAAGAAAATCCATGTATTTGATTATGGTGTTGGTGAAGAATATGGAGTCGGTTCCGACTCATAGTGACCTTGTACAGGGTTTCCGAGGCTGTAAATTTTTCTCCCGCAGAACGGCTGGTAGTTTCGAACTTAGGTTAGTAGCCCAATTTGTAACCACTACGCTACCTGAGCTCCTTACTATAAAATTATAGAAACCTTTATTAAACAAAAACATCAGACAGTAAAGCTATGTTGTTTCTCAGTATATTCTCTGCATAGTTTCTCTTTAACTTTTCCATGACAACTCTGCCTTCTTCAATTTATACCACATCAAAATGGCAGTTTTGTCATGCTCAAGGAACTCTAGTCATTTTCTTTGACTTGGGGAACAAAAAGGAGTCTGGGGCGGCAGAGATTGATGGCAGATTAGGGACAAGTGCCATGCAGATCTCCGCCAGCAGTAACACAAAATACCAGATTAAGCAGGTTCATGGGATGAACCTGGAACTCTGAACTACATATAAAGGAGTATTTGTAAGTATCAAATGCTTACTGCTAGTGGGATTTGCAGCAGGAGTAAGAAAATTGGCGTTTTCTGAATGGCAGCTACTTGTGGACACCTGACACAGCCATCCTCAGTGGGATGGAGCTGATATGGGAGTAGGAAAGAAATCCCATTGCAGAGACCTTACCGATCCTCAGAGATAAGGGTGTGAACAATTTTTCTTCTGCTCATTTCTTTCTGTGTGTGTGCACCTCAACTCTGGTGACTAGAGGGGGCGCATGAGCAAGTGGACACCTTCCCACGTTTAGAGGGCTCTACTGATCTTGCAAATGAATCTGCTCAACAAACACCATTGGTCCCAGAATTGAAGAAGGGGGAGGAGTCAACAGTAATAACTTAAAACAACTCTGATTAACTCTGGGCTGTTTCTCACTAGGAGAAACACCTGGATGGGATTATGGAGAGGGAGACAGGAAAAAAACAAGAGAGGCCAAACATCTTGAAATTTCTCAGGTGACCTTGAAGGATTTTTCCTGCTGGTCTTTCTTTCAAGAAGTATCTTTTGTTCCTCTAGCTGCTCCAGGCTGGTCTACATGTCCTTTCCAGTGGGAATGTCCCACCTCAGAAGGTTCTGGATGGGGCTCAGGATTCCACCTAAGGTCCTATATAAACACTACAAAGGCTATACAAGAAGCCTTATTCACTGGAGAAGTTCTAGAACCCCTTTTAGTTATCCCAATAAGTTATAGACTGAAGATGGGCTTACAAGCTTTCTGTAATCATGTCTCCCGATATTACTTTCTATCCCAATCAAGTGTTTATTTTATAATCATAGGCAAGAGAAACCAACATTCATAAGATAGTCAAGTGTTTATTTTACAATCATAGGCAAGAGAAACCAACATTCATAAGATTAACATCATTTCCCCTCTTTTACCCATTCAGACTGCCTGGATCCCTGAACAACAGAGTCCTGTTGTTCCAAGGTTTAGCATACATCATTATTTACCTCTGTCCCATTTAGACCCCGGAAACCTTCCCTATCTACCTTGTTCTTCAATCCCCCTCCCACTTTTTGTGTATTGCCCTCTTCAGCACCCTAAATATGATACTATGATGTGTCTATCCCTTAAACCTGTGCTCTACATTGCCCTCCCTCCCACCTCGGTAGCCAACAAATATATATATATATATATATATATATTTTTTTTTTTTTTTTTTTTTTTTTTTTTTTCTTTTAGTATGGGTATCTTTTCTTAAGCATCATAATTTTAATGTTTCCATGTTCTTGTTAGATTTTAATTTCTTGGTATGTTGTGAAGTGTTAATTTTCTTTGAGATTATCCTATAGTCTATTAACTTTTTCCTTCATTTAAAACAGTCTGTTTTACCCTGCAATCTATCTTACCTCGTAATCACCTGGATCTGTTACTATATTTTTACTTTCTTTTACCTTGTAATTGTTTTGATCATAGACTGACCTCCCAGATCCTCTGAATTCCTTCTTGTAGTTCTGTTCTGGACTCCCATCTGTCCATTAAGTTCTGAGTTGTGATGCTACATATATGTTAATCTCTGGTTGTTGTCTGTTCTTCTTGGTTCTGAGTCCAAAGAACTCCCTTTAGGATGTTTTGAAGTGCTGGGTTGACTTTGACAAAGTCCCTTAACTTCTGTTTATTTTGGAATGTTTTAATTATACTGTCATACTTGATTGACAACTTTGCTGGGTAAATGATTCTTGGTTGGCAGATTTTTTTCTTTCAGAGTTTTATATATGTCTCCCCATTGCCTTCTTGCCTTGAGGGTTTCTCCTGAAAGGTCAGACCTTAAACTTATTTGCTTGCCTTCGTAAGTAAAATTTCTCTTTCCCCTAGCTGCTTTCAGGATTCTCTCATTTTTTTATTTTGGAACGCTTCATTATGATATGTCTTGAATATCTTTTGTAGTCTAGCCTTCCTGGGGTTTGTTGAGCTTATTTTTCGTTTTTCAGGATGTTGGGAAAATTTTCTTCCAGAAGTTCTTCAACTATCTCCTCTGTGGTCATTTGTGTTTCTTCCTATTCCAGAATTCCAGTAATTCTCAAGTTATTCCTCTTCATGTTGTCCCACATGAATCTTAGAGTTTCTTCCAATTTTTTTTATCCTTTTTTCTGCTTGAGCTTATATCTTAGCAGTATTGTAAGAACTGTATTCCAGCTCACTAGTTCTGGCTTCCGTCTCTTCAGTTCTACTCCTTTGCCCTTTCAGTGTATTGTCCATTTCTGATATTATTAATCACTTGGGTCACTTTTTGCAGGTTATGAGTTGTTTCTGATGCTATTTCTATCTTATTTGATTTTTCCTGTAGTGCTTTCCTGACTTCTTCCTTATTTTTCTCAACAGTTGGAGGCACCTCAATATCATTCTCCTGAATTTCTTCTCAGGCAGTTCTAAAGCCTGCACCTCCTTCCAATGTAAATTCTAGGTTTACCTGAAGCTCATTTGTTCAGTTACTCTGTCTTGTTTCTGGACATGTGCCAATATTTCCGACTGTTTTTTGGGCCTCTTCAATAACTAGATGTGTTTTCAATAATTAGATGAATGCATGTTGATGTATTATTAAGCTTTATGATTGTCTACAGTTAGATGTGATCAGGAGATGGGCTTCCCTTTTCACTGTTCTTATTACTTGTCTCAGAGTAATTGTAGCAGGCAGTGGCTGTCTATCTGGTATATTGCAGCTAGTACTGGCTCTTTCCTGGACGGTAGGATTTCATAGGGTGTGATTGTAGCTTGGCTGTATGACCATAAACCACAACAGTAAAAAACAAAAACAGATTGGATACTACACTCTACAATCACAAAAAACAACAACAAAAAATGTAACAAAATGGGTATGATTTTAACGTCCCTCACTCAGCTAGCTGGAGCCATTTGGGGAGATTGTTCTGCTTTAACTAGTTCCTGTTGAGTCCTCCGCTTTCTTAAGTTCCGCGTGCTGTGGTCTTTGCTGTGTAGATCTGTGCGCATGCATAGTAGAACCCTCAAGGGGGGAAGGGAGCATCCACTCGCTCAGGCATCTCCCTCTAGTCACCAGAGTGGAGGTGCATAGACAGTGAGAGACCAGTGAACTGGAAAAAATGGTCACAGCTTTATCAACAATGATCAGTCAGGCCTCTTCACTGAGAGCAACCTTCTGATCATGCTTCTGCTCCATCATGCTCAAGATGGCCACTCTGGCACCTATAGCCACAGGTCAGAAAACACCACCTTTCTTGCTTCTGCTATAAATCCCACTACCAGTAGGGCATGGATCCTTATAAACATTTCTTTATATGTGCTTCAGAGTTTTGGGACTCTCCCCTGAACCTGCTTCATCCAGTATTCTGTGTTATTGCTGTTGGAGGTCTGCACCGTGCTTTTCCCTAATCCACCATCAAACCCCACCCCTCTTCTTTATTGTTTTTCAAATTTCAGTTTATAAGTGTTCCTATTATTATTATCATAAGAATAAAATAGTAATTATACTTATATGATGCTTTGTAGCTTGAAAAATAATGTTTGTATGTGTACCCTAATTTAAAGTAATCCATTTTGTGGTGTGATATTTAGGATTTTTACTACTGAGATCCTGAAACCATTTTTAATATAAGTTATTTTGGTCTCTTTTCCTACTTAAGCCAGTCAGCCATGCCTATTAGGTATATATTTTTTTAGATTAGCAATATCATTCTGGTACTATATCTATGCAGTGAGGTTGCTTTTTAAAAAATACAAGACTTTATATTTTTTCTTACTTACTTGTCATGTATTGATCTTTAATTCTGCCATACCAGTTTTGTACATCACCCACTAAAGCCAGTGATGATGAAATTGAAGAATTCTACCATCTTCTTCAGTCTTAAATTGATCAAACGTGCAATCAAGATGTATTGTTAATTACTAGTCATGGGAATGTGAAGATTGGAAACAAAGATGAAGGGGCAGTAGTTGAAAAACATGGCCTTAGTGATAGAAAGATGCTGGCGATCACATGATAGAATTTTGCAAGACCAATGACTTCATCATTGCAGATACCTTTTTTAAACAGCATGAAAGATGGCTATACACATGGACAACAGCAGATGGACTATATATAAATCAATTTGACTATATCTGTGGAAAGAGATGGTGAAAACACTCCATATCGCCAGCCAAAACAAGGCCAGGGGCAGGCTGTGGGACAGACCATCAATTGCTCATATGCAAGTTCAGGCTGATACTGAAGAAAATTAAAACAAATCCATGAGAGCCAAAATATAACCTTGAACATATCTCACCTGCATTTAGAGATCATCTCAAGAACAGAT